CAAAAAAACACGGCGACCGTTAATTAATTTTTTAATTAAAAATAACAATACATGGTCCGTCTGGTATTGCGTAATATAAGTAACACGAAAATGCCTACAAAAAAGATACAGCGGCATTGGCTGAAATACGACGTAAAAGCCGTTATTTCGTTTTTTTCAACGGTTTTTTCAAATTTTTCAAAATATCTAATATTTGTGGTGGTACGAAATCGTTAAATTTATGGATATTTCAGCCGTCTCTGAACCGATTTTGATCAAACAAAGATGAATTTGTCATCTAAATATTATGTTCTTTCAAATTTGACACTCAGTTTTTCAATATCTCACAAAAAAATATTTTGTGTAGCGCCCTCTGCAAGAGAACTCAACTATCCCTTTAACTTAGTGTCAAGAGTAAAACAATAAATGAATATTTACAATGAGTTTGTAATCGATGTTAAATAGAGTAAAAGTTGCACACTGGCTAGCCGAGCCTGACTCTCGTTATCTAAAGCCTAATATAAAGTTAAATAGAAATACACGATGGTTTTCCAAATCCTATAAATGTTGTGAGTTTTTTACGAAAAGAGGTTCTTGATCTCTCAATTCTTAGATCAGTAGGGAGCATAGTCCAAAAATTACTTCCAACAAACGAAACAGAAAACTTTCCTTAATCTGTTTTGAATAAAGGAGGACGTAATTGTCGACCCGTGTTTTGTCTTGTGGAATATTCATGTATAGGGGCGGCGATTTCTTTTCATGACCTGGGGGACGCAATGCGAGGGACGAGGGTGCAGTGGCGTAATGATAAAACACTTTAAGGGGGGGTGGGAGAAAAAAATCCGCATCACCCCCACTCTTACAAGTTATATGCAGGCCCCGCGGAGCGTTTTTTAAAGTAAGGGGGGCTAAAGTATTTACGAATGGGTAGCGCAAAGCGATGAGCATCAAGGGGCCCGCCTAGAGCCCATGGTAGGGTCCAAAGGGGCGGAGCCCCCGGAAGCTCAGGGGAAAGCCATGCCATATTTCAGCACCGTTTGTAAATCACTAGTATCGAATTAGAAATAAACCACGTTTCAATTTTATCAGGGGGGGCAACTGCCCCCAACCTCCAATCATTACGCCATTGCGAGGGAGCATAGTGAATGAGAGGGCTGAAAGTGTCTGAAGTGACTACCCCCCTCACAGATTTTTGAAGTTTTGTTGTATTAAAAATTTACTTTCCTTAGCAAAACTATAGTGTGAAAACAAGCAATATACCTTTTTACACTTCTCTTTTCTACAACTACTGAACACTTCGAAGGATATTATGCGAGGGAGCGTAGCTACCGAGCGAGAAGAATTTTGCATTTTTATTTGTCTAAACGCTGCACTCTTAGGCCCTCCAAAGCTATACGTTTGTTGCAGTCTTTAATCAGTATTTGCTATACACTTTTGGGGGCACTTTTTTCAAATTGTCCGGGGGACGATCCCCCCTAAAACATTGAGGGGGACGTGTCCCCCCGCCCCCCCCCCCCCCCGGGATCACCATCCCTGTTCATGTTGTAGTATAGTACAATAATGTTTTAAGGAATGTGGTAATCCTTCATTTATCAAATCAAACCCCAAAGTACAATTAGATAATTTATGCAATTTGAAAACATTCAGCATTTGGAAGTAATGAAACAGTGCATTAGTATGAGTACGATGTGGCTTGAAAGTTATAGCACGTACAGCCATCTTTTGAGTATAAAATATACAATTCAAGTGTGATTTATAAGTACTACCCCAAACCTCGATGCCTCTTAATTCTGCCCCAGATATTTCAATTCTCCCTCTAAGCACGGCCTTTCTTTTACGACTACTAAAGAACATGAAATTATTTTGTGTCGCATTGATAGTAAGTTTATTTGCAGTGCACCAATTTTGTATTGATTTTAATTTTCATTTACTTCACAGTCACACTCATCTATTTGATCTACACCTTTGGAAAAAGTATGAAAAACATTAGAATCATCTGCAAATGGTCTGAAATTGAAATAATTTGTCACAGTTAGTAAGACATTTATATAGATTAAAAACAGAGTTGGTCCTAAGACAGAACCTTGTGGTACACTACATTTGATGTATCTACTTTCTGATGATGACTCTCTGTATTTCACAAACTGCATTCTGTCACTAAGATAGCTTTCGAGCCATTTCAGTGCATGACCCCAGATGCCATAATAGGATAGCGGTTTAAATAATATGTTATGGTTTATTGTGTCAAGTCAAAAGCCTTTTGAAAGTCAAGAAATACACCGAGCGTCCACACATCCTTCGTCTATACTTTTCAATACCGTATTCTTAAGTTTAATTACTGATAATTTAGTACTATATTTTTTCTAAATCCGTACTGATGTTAATATAAAACGTCATGCGTTTTTAGGAAACTGGTCAATCGAACATTAACTATTTTTTTAAAAACTTTACCCAAAATTGGTAAGACAAAAATGGGTCTATAATTCCCTGTTTCATGTTTATAACCTTTCTTAAACAGTGGAGTGACTTTAGCAATTTTTATTTGATCAAGGAAATTTCCCGTTTCCAATGAAAGATTGGAGAGATGTGGTAATGGTTCAAATGCACCATCATTCATCAGGCGTACTGGAATGTTGTCGTAACCACAATATTTCTTCTCGTCTAGAGCCAACATGTGGTCATGAACTTCCTTCATTGTGACCAGTTTCCAAAAAAGGGATTGCCCAACTATATCATTCAAATAATCTTTAGATAACGTGCGTTCATTTGGTATCGCTGATGTTAGATTTGGACCGATGTTTAAAAAGAAATCATTAAATTCATTGGCAATTTTATATACATTTAATATAATCTTACTCAGAATAGAGCGAGGAGATATTATATCATTATCAGACATTGACAATGCGATTTCTGCTTGATAAAGTTGATACTTCTTAGAACATTAATGACCAATCTAAAGACTCACAGAGATGGATCTATGTAGTTCTAGGATAATTATAAACTATTCCAGGAAGAAGAAATCATTTCAAATTCATTACATGAAAAGAGGTCAATAAAAATCATTCCAACTTTATGGGCAACAGTATTATATACACACAGAATTATTAATTTCCAATCCACTGAATTCAGCAAAAACAAATCAATAATTTTCAAGTTTCTCTTAAAGCCCCACTGTCCTACTTGTAGCTACTTGCTCCCTCTATATAGAAAACTTCCCCAATCGGTTCCCCCATGATCCTCTATTTCTTATGTTATTTGAGAGCTGAGTTGATGAGATAGCCACCTGCTAGTGACCTCGCTGTGTGGTCTAATCCCTCCTAGCCACACTAGTGTTGATAAGCTTTAAAGAGTGGATTATCAGTGTTGTAGTACTTGCGCTGGACTTGGACTCGAGTGGGTGGTATTACATATACACTCTAAAAAATATTTGGCAAAAAATTGCCCAATTTTTACCCAACATGAGGACGATTATGTGTCCAACCAACTGTTGGGTAAATTAACAATTTTGCATGATTGGATAAAAAGAAAATACCCAACTTTTAACCAACAAAAATTTACCCAATCAGAAATTCACCCAATTCTCACCATAATGTGTAGCATATTATATTAGACACTAGTTGGGCAAATAAGTTGGATAAAATATTATATGCAAAATGACATTAGTACCGGCGGGACTCGAACCGCGAACCTTGTGATCCACAGTCGATCCAATCGACCACGAATCGTCTAATATAAGAATATAAACCTATATTGTTTGATAATAATGTTGCCCGACTTACGTTTGCCCAGTTACATCTGCCCAACTTATATTGCACATGTAATTGGGTAAATACATGTAGTAAATGGCTGGGAGAAAATAACCCAAATGTTGGACAAAAATGGTCCAATTCTAATTTGCCCAATAACATTACCCAATTATTTCATCGGTTACTACATGGTTGGTAGGAAATAACCCAATCGTTGGACGACATTTGCCCAACATCGATTTGCCAAGTAACACCTACCCAACCTATTTTTTACCTTTCATGAGGTAACTTCATATACAGTGTGAGTCAAAAAAAAGTTTACACCTAGAAAATTGCTAATTATTTTAAAAGTCATAGAAGAACATTAAACTGTTATATGTCTTATGAAAGAGTGTTTTATCCCAAATCATTTGGTACCATTTTTGTGTAGTATGTGTTCACGCTTGGATGAACAAGAGACATTGTTTGCGAGAGTGCAAAAATCGACTTGCGCCAAAGTTGCATAATTATGTGATGTTTGAATAAAACAATTGGGATTTGGGTATTAATTCGGTCTTTGCAGATCCAAATAACACCCCTAACAAAATTAATCATGCCACACATATCAAATATCGAATATCAAGTATCAACGAACACTTGTGCGCGTGTGTGTGGGTGTGTGTGACTTTGCCCTTTGCACAAAACATATGCAATGCATTTCATTCGATACATTCAATCCATTCTCTCACTCCGCTAATTCCAACATAATACAGACTGTAGGCATCACTTTGGCGCAAGTCGATTTTTGCACTCTCGCAAACAATGCCACCTGTTCATCCAAGCGTGAACACATACCACACAAAAAAGGTACCAAATCATTTGGAATAAAACACTCTTTCATAAGATGTATAATAATTTACTGTTCATAGATGATTTAATTAGCAACTTTCTAGGTGTAAACTTTTTTTTGACTCACACGGTAGTAAACGGTTAGGAGAAAATAACCCAATTATCGGACGAAATTTGCCCAACTTCGATTTACCCAGTGATATCTACCCAACTTGTTTAACAGTGTACAAAGCTCAAGTTAAAATCTATACAAGCCGCATTAAATATATTGTCAGGCCTTTGGACTTTCACACAAGGCATAATTACCGCTATCCGTATATACATAATCTCTCTCTCTCTCTCTCTCTCTCTCTCTCTCTATATATATATACCGTATATGTTACCGGAATGTATTTCGAAAGCTCACATTCGAGATAAGACTAAACAAATGGCGCAAACGTGAATGAATTAAGAGGATTCTCTCAACTTCATCTCTGTAGATTTCATGAATATTGATTCATACATGTAGTTCCATGCAATCCCCGGAACCTCGTAAATTCCATAAACGCCATTTAAATTTGAGCTGTAACAATCGCCATACCACCAAGCCCCTCGGTAGACAATTGCACAGTTACTGTTTGAATTATCATTGTCCATGTCATAGGTCGAGAAGCCTCTATTTTTGCCTATATAGAGTGCTTCTCCTGCATTACCAGAATATGATGCGAAATCGAGTTGGTAACTGCATTGGAAAGAAGGACAAGTAATAAACAGATTAGCCTGAATGTAGTCTTGAAAGGGTCCATACAAACGAAAATAAAAGTACATTTTCTTTTTAAAAGTGCGTGGGAGTGCCACGGTTGGAGTATAGCACCCTTTTGCGATTGTTTTCATCGATCAGCGCTCCTTCAAACACAAGAATGCGGAGAAAGTATTAACATTGTTCTATTATTGATCAATACATAAGGATGAAACAAAGCAAACACAAACAAACAAACAAACAAAACAGTATTTCGATTGTGAGTGAGCATTTAAGGTTTTCGCATGAATGGACAGATTGGACACACACAAACAAAAATGTAAAACGTTTTGACCCCTTTTACAAACCAGTGCTGAGGAGTGGGACAGGATTAAACCAAAGAATTAAGTAATTGGTTATCTCTGCACGGATTACAGTTAATACAGTTATTGGAAACAATGGTGACCATACAAAGTTTTGACATTTATTCCAATATGTTTATGCACAGGGGTGTACTCACTTTTGTTGTAACTCTTTTTTACAATTATCTTTCATGCGCTATACTTTTCGAATGGAATTAATATTGTATAATATTTCATAATATATATATATATGTATATATATATATATAAAATAAGTAATAATTAAAACAGTAAAAATAAAAACCCTTGTGTGTACAATTCGTGAAGGGGGATTTTTGTATTAAATATATCGAATGGTTGTATAAGAAATGAGAATGATGGAACCATACTTTGTGATAGGGCTTCCAATGCTGAATTGACCATAATGTGCATAGAGTTGAATGTTGCCGTAATCCACCATATCGACTCGGAGCTCGACCCCACCTTTGGACAGCAAATGAATGATATCTAACCCCAACCAGTATTCACCGCTGACGTCACCAAATCCTTGAACATACTCAGAATAGTTGCGGTAGAAATTGACAGACCCATCATAACGTTTCTGCATTGTATGACAAATAATATAGAATTCACTGATGAAATCGGTGAAATTAGTCTTACACTTTGAAGCCAACTTAAAGGGCAAGTCCACTCCAAAAATAACGTACTTATACCAGAAGCAGACAAATCAGACGAACCAATCAAAAAAAGGTTTGATCAAAATCGGATAAATCATAAGAAAGTTATGAATTTTTGAAAAAGTATGTAAAACCATGGACAGTGGAAATCACTACACAAATTGCCAATTTGGTTATCAGTTTGTGACGTCATGTCTTCACTATTTATCAATTGCTTTATATATTTTAATCCCATTAATTTCCCTCTTTATCCCCCAAAACTTGATTCCCCCATACCTTTGCTCGGGTTATATGATTTGTATCATATTGCGTGCATGACATTTCACAACATATTTTATGAACTTCTAAAAATTGATACTATTTTCTGAATATTGTATATTTATATAAATTAATAGTTTATCAAAATTCACATTTTTCATGATTTAACTAACAAATATTACTCTCTATAAGTGCATCCACACACAAACATATTACTATAAATCTAACTTGGATGCTGGTGTGAAGAAATAAGATTCTTAGGGGGAAATTTGGAAATTCATATTATAAATGATAAATTATATATTATCAATATAAGAAAATAATTAGTGGATAGTGAGGCAATGGCGCCACAGAATCATGAGTTAGTTGCCAATTATTTTGTCTTGTGATTTTCAAAGTTTCAAACCCCCTCACACCATCCTAATCGCATCAGGGAGATCCCCTCCCACCATCCTACTCGCATAAGGGTGACCCCCTCCCACCATCCTACTCGCATCAGGGTGACCCCCTCCCACCATCCTACTCGCATCAGGGAGATCCCCTCCCACCATCATACTCGCATCAGGGCCGGGTGACCCCCTCCCGCCATCATACTCGCATCAGGGTGACCCCCTCCCACCATCATACTCGCATCAGGGTGATCCCCTCCCACCATCCTACTCGCATCAGGGTGACCCCCTCCCACCATCCTACTCGCATCAGGGTGACCCCCTCCCGCCATCATACTCGCATCAGGGCCGGGTGACCCCCTCCCGCCATCATACTCGCATCAGGGTGACCCCCTCCCACCATCATACTCGCATCAGGGTGACCCCCCCCCCCCCCATCCTACTCGCATCAGGGAGATCCCCTCCCACCATCATACTCGCATCAGGGCCGGGTGACCCCCTCCCGCCATCATACTCGCATCAGGGTGACCCCCTCCCACCATCCTACTCGCATCAGGGTGACCCCCTCCCACCATCCTACTCGCATCAGGGTGACCCCCTCCCACCATCATACTCGCATCAGGGCCGGTGACCCCCTCCCGCCATCATACTCGCATCAGGGTGACCCCCTCCCACCATCCTACTCGCATCAGGGTGACCCCCTCCCACCATCCTACTCGCATCAGGGTGACCCCTCCCGCCATCATACTCGCATCAGGGTGACCCCCTCCCACCACCCTACTCGCATCAGGGTGATCCCCTCCCACCATCCTACTCGCAGGAGGGTGATCCCCTCCCACCATCATACTCGCATCAGGGCCGGGTGACCCCCTCCCGCCATCATACTCGCATCAGGGTGACCCCTCCCACCATCCTACTCGCATCAGGGTGACCCCTCCCACCATCCTAATCGCATCAGGGTGACCCCCTCTCACCATCAGACTCGAATCAGGGAAATCCCCTGCACCTTCCTTCTCGCATAATGCGAGAGACGAAGAATTTCGTTTTCACTACAAATTAAACAACACGACATGGCATCATTTGACATAATCATAAACTTCAATTACATAAAAAGAAAAGATAATGGAATGCACCTGAAAAACTGTCCATCCTCCGCCGTCGGTTATCATATCACAGTAAACATCAATCGCATCCGCGCCACTAGGAATGGTGGAGTAGACACCACTTGTATGATAGCCCATTGAATAGAGCATCTTGCACGAATTTGGCAGAGTGCACTCAAAATGGCGCCCGGATGCAAGTTTCCCCATACTAGGGCCGGACTTGTTTGGCGTTAATACCAGCCTTGGGCCGAGTTGTATAGATCTCCCGTCAGGTAGAGTTATATTGCCACATGATGCAGGGCCTAGAGTGCAGAGCTTACTGCATTCACCGACTACACATGAAAATCAAGAAGTTCACAAATTAAGTTAATTGGTAATAAATAAAAAATTGCAACGCAGATCGAAACTCATGAATCTCTTTAAAGCCCCACTGTCCCACTTGTAGCTACTTGCTCCCTCTATATAGAAAACTTCCCCAATCGGTGCCTGTTCTTCCCCCTTGATCCTCTTTTTCTTATGTTAGTTGAGAGCTGAGTTGATGAGATAGCCACTTGTCAGTGACCTAGCTGGGTGGTCTTATCCCTTCTGGCCCAGTAGTATTGACCGTCTTTAAAGGCCATCTGTACTTGTTTACAGGAGGGATTAGACCACCTTGCAAGGTCACATCAAATCAGCTCTCAATTAAGAGGATCATGGATAGCGCTGATCTTTGATTTGTTATTAAAACCTTATGCCCTATACGTGCTTAAGCAATGGCTGTAAAAACATCTCTTCTCTTACTTTTACTACATGTTTATGTTTATGTAATAATTTTTGTAAAATATTGATAATAAGTCACAATTAAAAAAACAAGGAGAATCACAATTCACACTTACCAAGAAGGAAACTCGCCCAGATAACGATAAGATACATAACCAGACCTTAGTAATAACGATGTTCGCTTTTTCAAATATGCAGATGATACTGCAAGCAGGGGGATGATGATCAGATGCGATGAAAATAACTATCGTTCGAAAATCGAGCAGTTTATCAAATGGCGTGATGAAAATTACCTTCAACTAAATCAGTCCAAACGAAATAAATATTGTTGACTTTAGAGTTGCTACGCAACAACATTAACCGGTGAAGCTTAAAGATTGAAACATTGTGCTACTACATAACAACACGAACCAGTAAAGATCAAAGATTCAAACATTGAGTTGCTACATAACAACACAAACCAGTAAACATCAAAATTTAAAACATTGAGTTGCTACATAACCTGGCAGAAGAATGGAAGGCATGAATCCTCCAAAAAGCTAAACAGATCATTGCGATCATTGCTTTCAAAGAAAGGGAACATGCATACGCGTACCCAAGCTAACACTGAGTGAGGGCGGGGGGGGGGGACGTCGTGTGAGAAAGGTGGAAAGACAAGGAAATGGCGCTTAGTGACAGTAACGACGAATAAGGGAAAAACTTTTGGGACACAAAAAAATGTGCTCTTACCCCCCCCCCCCCCCCCCCCCCCCCGCTTATTCAGCGGCTGGCCGAGTCGTTGTAAAATTTTCGGCCCGATTTAAAAATGTTAACCCCCTCCCCCTCGAAAATCCTGCGTACGCCACTGTCAGCATTCAACATTGCAAAATCTCGCTTGGTCGATACACCCCTCGCCCAATAACGCAGAACTATGATATGACACTCCGCCCACGCTCCCGGCCGTGATTTATCCATGGCTGGTGTAATAATATTTTTTCTTTTTTATTTCCACTCACATAATATTGTGCACTGTAAAAATTTGCTGTAACTCATGCAGTAAAATACTGTGATTTACAACAGTAATATGTTGTAATAACGATTTTACGATAATTAACTGTATAAGTACGTTGCTGTACAGTATATTGCTGTAAACATCAGTGTCGTAGAGCATGGGAACAAATATCTACAGTAAGCTAGTGTAAAGGAGCGTGCAAAAAGCATTGTGGGATACAGCGCACATGCGCATTAGGCGGATCGGCTGCATATGCGCGTATGCGTTGCACGTGATTGGCTCCCGCGCTAGCCCGCCACGCCGCGCCGCCATTTTTAATTTTCTGCAAAGATTTGAGCTGAGATATATAGCTGAGCTGGCCGGCCTGATCCTGAGCAACGAATCTGAATCTGTTCTGTTCCTGGTCCTGATCCTCGAGCTGGGATATTGATGACCAATAAGTCAATTCCAAGGGGATCCGAGGTAAGTTACAGATTGCCAATTATCAGAGTCATGATTTGATTTGTATCCCGCTGAAGTGAAGAATTGTCAGACTGTGGAAAGTATAGGGATTGTGTTTGTAATTGTTCCGTCTACGGTATATGTGTACTGTACGTGCTGTGCTGTGGTGTGTGGGACAGAGTCGGTAGTGTTAGTGCAGCACATGACACTGTACTGCAGTACCAGCGTACAGTGTCACTGTCAATGCGATGCCATTGCACATGGATATGCATGCTCACGTTAAATTGGAAATGTCTAACGTCAAGACCATCAAGACTTATAACTTATAGGACACCGCACACACTACGATCGACTACAGCATCAGTCCATCATGAGCACACTGCGTGATCAGTTGAATACGCACAAGTCTAAGCTCATGTAGTGTAGTCTACAGCACGTTACTGAAGAAATTACAGCAAAGTACTGGCAATCCTGCTGCATAGTGTAATTTTACTTAAAAGTTAAAATATGAAATAAAATTACAGTAAGTTACTGTAAAATTACTTAGTATTTTACTGTTACTTAGTAATTTACAGTAAGTTACTTTAAAATTACTGTAATTTACTGTAAAATTACTGTAATTTACTTTTTTGAAGGTCGCAGCGTTGTCATAGCAACCAAATAGGCCATTCCGTAACTGGCAGTAAGTTACTGTAAAATTACTGAGTAATTACTGTAAAATTACTGTAATTTACAGTAACTTACTGCTAGTTTACAGTAAATTACAGTAATTTTATTTCATATTAATTTTGAGTACTTGTCTACTGTAATTCACTGTAATTTTATTTACAGTAACTGTAGGTTATATCTACAGTAAGTTACCATCAATTTTTACTCAAAGTATCTGCCTGTAAACTTTCCTACAGTAAATCACTGCATTTCTTAGAGTAAATTGCTGTTACCGTAGGTTCTTCAAATACTAACAGTAAATTACAGTAATTTTTGTCTTTAAGGATTGTAAATTTGTTTTACAGAAATCTATTGTAGTTTCATTTACCGCAAATGAATGTTAATTTCACTTATGTAGTAACATTCATAGCCGTGAAATCAAATGTTTTTTGCTGAAGGTTTCGCATACAGTCATCATCAGGAGGCTCGTGACAACTGGTTATATTTGATGAATTTATGTTTTTCTTTCGATTTTCTTTTGTATTTTTTGTCCTTTATCTTTTTTTTTATTATTCATTTATCATTTAAAAACTTTTAATCTGTCAATGCTGTACATAAAAAGTTATGTGTACGTATGCATATTAAAGGTATTGTTTTCCGCTCTTCTTTCTTGCAGTATGCCATGGATTACTGCTGAAGTCACACAGTGTGCATGCTGAAACACTAATCAGACGGATGCTCTACATGGACATCATATACCCATGTACGTTTGTAAGCTATGTAATCATTCTTCTGGATCATTGAAGCGGTTTTCTGAACACTTTTCAGTCCATAGAAATGTGGTGAATTTCGATTTCCCGTGTGGTGTTCCTGGCTGCAATCGAACATTCAGAAATTATTCATCCTTCAAAACCCATGTGCATAGGGATCATCAACCATTTTCAAGAAAAAAAGATGCCCAGTTTTTCTGCGTTTCTACCTGGAATTGTCCACTCTGTGCTGTAAAATGTGAGGAAATCCATGACATACTTTCTCATCTTAGAGTTCATATCAAACACGGAGTTGAAATACGCTGTCCTTTTGCCAATTGCAAAAAACGTTTTTCAGTGAGGTCGTCTTTTGCGTCACATATATCAAGAGTTCACAATAAGTTAGACCAGATTCAGTTAGACTCAACTTCAAGTGAAACTGGTACTGTGTTAACTGAATCCGCCCAAGAAAATAATCAGGAGTTTCCTGGAAGACTGCACTCAAGTGACGAGGAAAGTGTGACAGATGATGAAGTAGATGTATCCGCTGACTCATTCAAACACAGCTTATCCTTGTTTTATCTGAAGTTGGAGGCAAAATTACTACTGCCCAACTCTACAATTCAGGAAATAATTGACAC